CTGGCGGAAGGAGCGGAAGAAATGGAATGTGTTATTCCGATTGATATATTAAGAAGAGCTGGAGCCGAGGTATGAGGGCCTGTTTTTTGGTACAGCTTCATTTGAGAGATCCCAGTAACACCGCGGTTCCCACATCGATCCCAGCGGTATTAAGCTGTACTGTAGCAGCAGCACGACCTCCGCATTGATTTCCTGGAAATTCTGGTAAAATTAAGCAGTTATGGCTGCATCTCGTGATACCAGTAGAGCCTCGATGACCCTGGTGATTTCTTATCTCCGTTCTTTATTTTTGCTATACTCAGAAGAGCGGAAGCTTCCCAGAACAAGATTGATTGGGGAACAAAAACACTTTAGAGTCTAGAGATGGGAAAGAGTGCTTTTATACCTGAGTGACCACAGATCACAAGAATTGGCCAACGCAGGGGCTGCCCGTGCGAAGATGCGTTTTTTGCATAGCCCCCCCGCAGATTTCTGTCATTATCGGCACTGGTTTTTCCGGCAGATGCTTCAAGCTAAAAGAATTTCAGAGTGGCCGTCAGGACTGTTAGGAAACATCCCTTCAAAATTCCATTTTTCTAGTTTCTCAGATTCCCAATTTAGCGACTTACCCGAAAAAAATTTGGCGAGCCCGTACGTGAGTACCGCGCGGATGAGAGCGCCCATTTTGGGGGTGAGGGGGGGAGGGCGCACATGCATGTAGATTAAGTTCCCAAAATTTCAGCCCCGTAGCTTTCGTAGGTCTGGTGATGAAAAATCCGTACAGACGAACACACAGACAAATAGACACACACACAGAAAACCCCTCGTCAATATGCGTTTTCTGCACTGCATAACTGCAAAAAACGCACAAAAACTGCATAACTTTAAAGGGGGTAGGGTATCTAGAGACTGAACTGGAGACCAGAGGTGTTGCATCATAATGATGCAAAGTGGATTAAAGTGCAGGAAAGTTGGGGTGATTACTTATGACAACTTGTTTTTTTTTTGCAGGTTACAGTAGCCGGTTTGACCGGCACGAATCCAGTGACGTGTTCGCGACAAGTTGTTATTGTGCCGGACAAAGCACTGTCGGATGTGAAGGAACACAAATTCGACGTTGTCATTTTGCCCGGTGGCATGAAAGGTGCAAATTCACTTGCAGCGGTACGGCTTTCTACATCTTTTCATGTGTAGCACAGTGTTTCGCACATTTATTGTTTGTTCTGCGAGATTTTCTTGTATAATTTAGCATATAATTCCAAACAGAACTAAAACCCTTCCTTTTTTCACTTACTGCGAGAGGCGAAGCACTGAGAAGTAGCCCGAGTGGTAGCAAGTGCCAGCGCCAGTCGCTTGTTGGCAGGGGTGTAGGGAGTGTCCTTTACGAGAGTTGCTTAGAAGCAAGCTGATGACAGGTTTATCTCTCCGGCATTTGCTAGCACCAATTTACCATTGAAACGAATGAACGAATCGTAGAAGACAAGCCAGTATTTGCCTTTGATGATTTAAGAAATATACCTAACATATAGGAAATATACCTTATGTCCTCAGGTAATCAACATGATCGTTTTAACATGGCGAAATGGGGTATTGTACTGCTGATGATTCCCATTCCGTTTCGCACGATTCTGTCGTGTCTGTTTACAGTTCAGAGATGAAATACAAACGGGCTGCCAACTCATTGTGCACTATGGCGTATAGGCCTGCTTATTTGGGAGATCTAAATGTCACTACTTCCAGTGTTTTCATTAATTATCAAAATTCGATTATGTCCCTCTCTATGGTGGGCTAGCAACGTCAAACAAACCACATATGTTAACGCATAGACGACCCCAGGCCCCCGTCCTCTTCCACTCTCCTAGCCAGGAGATATTCATTATCTCTACATCACTTATTTGTTTTCACGTTTAAATTTATTGGTGCAAAAAAAAAAAAGAGAAACTAATAGTTTTCAGTCGGACGAAGTCGGTGCAATATTGCGAGCACAACACGAAACTGGTCGTTTTGTAGCGGCGATATGTGCCGCACCAATTGCATTGAAAAGTCATGGAACTGCTCCAGGAATATTGGTCACATCACATCCAAGCGTTAAGCAGAAGCTTGTTGATGGAGGTAATTTAAATTTAGGTATTTTATGGTTATGGAAAAGGCTGTAGAAAGATAAAAGTAAAAACAAAAATGAAATCTGAATAGGAATGTTTCGGTCCAGTAAGTCGCATACTTCTTCATTCAGTGCTACAACTGGACCTTGTCAGTGTGACGGTTGCAGCGGTTTGTCTCCTCTTCTGCAGTGGCTTTCCAGAAATTTTGTATATTTCAGTCATACCTACTTGCTTCATTGCTGATGAACCAGTGCTGTAGCCAAAAGCGGTGCATTTTTCTTTCTTCATTTAATGGTTGTTTTGACCGATGCTGCATTACCTGGTGATTCTTATGTTCTTTTCATCTTTTGGCGATTCTTACATTCTTTTCATCCCCTGTTTTATCGTAGTTTTCATTTTCCTTTTATTTTTTATTAATCGTATTTTGTTGAGGTTGACTACATTACTGCAAGCAGTGCACTTGCTCTTTGTAGTAGCAATTAACGCTACTCTCAGAACGAAAATCGATAGTTTGATTTCACCAGTGGGCAATCAATCCCTCTACGTGTTGTGGTTATTTCTCACTGCCTCCGTCTGTCCAGCTGTGGGAGGAGATGGTCACTTTTTGGCTTGCTTTAACGGAACAGTTTTTTATTTTTTTTCCTTTTTTCAGGGTACAAATACTCGGAAGATCGTGTTGTCACTACAGGCCACGTAGTAACGAGTCGCGGCCCGGGAACAGCATTTGAATTTGCACTGAAATTGGTGGAGTTACTTTTTGGAGCTGAAAAAGTAAAAGAAGTCTCTGCACCGATGGTTGTCAAAGATTGATTTTCCAGTTTGAAAAATAAGTTATTACTGATAAAGATTGATACTTTTCTACTGTTAGGTTAGATATTTCTTTCATTTTATTAATATATATGTTGTACCACCGTTGGTTTTTTTTTTTTTTTAATGCTAAATTAGTCTTTCATGCCAGAGATTTAGATCAGCTTCGGCTTTCTTCTTTTGCTTCGTCTTTTGTTTCATCTCATCACTGTTGGATCAAACAACTTTCCACTCTTCTCTGTTTTGAGCTTTTCTTATTTAAATAATTCAGCACTAACGTACGACAGATTTTTCCAACACATCGTCGCCCTAGTGTTTGCGCTTTTGAAATTACCCTGGGTACCATTTAGTAGTCCATTTGTTTTTTCATCAGTTCTCTGTGGTTCTTGCCACATCACTAATCCAACTCTTCCTGAATGGCCCCCCATTTGCAAACGATATGAGAATGGCCAAAAAGGATTGCGTCTTAATTTTGATTATTCTGCTAATGTGATGGCATTGTGGGAGTTATTCCTATACATTTCAGTGTTTCGTTTACATCATATTCTGAATATTTTTGGCTCCGTGTATATGCCGCTTGTTTGTTAGCAGTGTCATAATTTATAATTTTAATCGGTTTTATTAATAAATAATTGTCGATGCACAATTCTTTTCGTCACTTCGGGTCACTGAATTTCAGAAGTACCTCACCCCGATTGCTGGGGGGAACAGTTGCCATAAAACAACTAGGAATCACGGTTGATCCAGGCACTGTTGTGTATTCATTTTCCGAATTTTTTGACTTTTAGATTTTTTAGTAGCTTTGACCACTGCTTTATCATTTGTTGGTCAGCCTTTTGGCGATCCCATAAACGCATCGTATGTATATTTGCTATTTGATGAGCTGAGTGGTGTCCGTGAATTTGAGTGTGCAGTGTATTGTGAATTTGGAGAGGCCAGGGAAGAAATTAACATAAGTGGATCCAGAACGGATTCCTGGGAGGGGGAGACGACGATGAGTGGGGGAGGGGAGGAGGAGAGCGGAGTTCCTAAGAGGCGATGAGGAGGGGGAGAGGGGGAGGAGCGACAGGAAGTGGGGAGGAAAGCCCGCTCTCACCCTAGAACAATGCAAAAATAAATGGCCAACGCACGGGCTGTCCGTGCGAAGATGCGTTTTTTGCAGAGTTCCCCGCAGG